AATTGTTTGTCAGTTTGTCTGTTTAAACTCACCAATCTCCGGAATTACTAAATGGATTTTCATGGGCCTTTAACTGGTTTATAGAGAGTGACCTCGGACATAATCTAGGGTATACAAAAATTAGATCTGACACGAGGGCGTGGCACCTCCCATAGGCGTGACATTTTTAATCAGCTATATCTTAGAAACGATAAGTCTCATCCTATTTATTCCCACAGACCTTCAATTTTAATTTAAAAGTCTTCAGTATTCTCTGAGACTTTGCTTTGACATGTGATTATATGTCGCATGCTCACGAGTGGGATGTCCGACTAGTATTTACACCGCAGCAAAAAATTAAAGTATTCATAAGGAGGCCTTAAATTGAATAAGAAAAATAATTTATGTCCCCTTCAATGCGCCGTAAACTGAGAATGTATCTTACTGTTTTATATTTTTATTTGTTTACCCCGAACGACATCGGATACTCTGCATCATAAAATATGCTGCCGAAAAAATTGTGCCGACAGATGCCGCTAGAGTCGAGATTTTTAGAAAGTCCATCTTTATCGTACGACCTGGATTAACGGGTATTAACTTTTTGATAAGAAGTGCTTCTGCAAAAAAACGGACTCAAAACATAGATGGCGCTGGAATCAAGATATTTGGATACCCCTCTACAAATTTAATTGTAGATGACTTAACAAAAGCCCCATTCTTTAAGTATGAATACAAAGAAGCGCGAGATTGTTAAGGCGCCACAGATGTCTTAGACACATAAACGGGTCATCGGTATATCAAGAAGAAGTGTGACGAATTAGAAAGCAGAACGGTAGGCACATCAATGACCCCGTTTGAGCGGGAAAACTCTTTCTTCCAGTGGATTTGAACCTTGCAATACTTGCAGATATCTCACAGCTGGAAATTACATTATTTTTGTAATGGTCAAGGCAAAAGTTCCAATCAGGCGTTGCGAAGCAAGCCAGGCAGTTGCTAGTGCTTAAATAAACAGTAAGGTATAATTATTTCAAGTCTTCTGAACACAAGCAGAGTTTGCCGGTTTAACATATTGATTCTCAAGGTTTCTATACCATTTCTGCAACATTTTTTTTTTTTTTAATAAAATACATGGGAAACTTTAAGCGCTTTGAGCGACACCTAATTAGTTTTTTATATAAAAAAAAGCTGGGGTATACTTTTTTTTGGATATAAAACAATGCTAGAGTTTGAGAGCATTAAAATGTCGACTTAAATTTTTTCACAAGCAATTTTGGACTACTCTAATGTACTTGCATTTTACGTATGTATGTATGTATTTGTACATCCATGTACGTAGGTTAAGCGGGCAATACAAAAAAAGTATTAAGCAGCGGATATATGAAACACACTCAAAGGACAAAATATAATTATATGCACATACATATATACATATGTACATTTGTATGCAGATGTATGTATACATAAACAGTTGACTGGCCGCTGTTATGGTTCATTGGCATCGTCGGTTAGGTGGTTAGTTGGTCCATTGAATGTTACGCCTATTGGCCTGAATGGTTTAGCGGTGCAGTGTTGATTGCTATGGGCAGTTGGTCTTACTATACGCTGTCTATACAATTGAGATCAATTCAGTTTGTTCAGTTATTTGTACTTACCAATATTCATGGCATGTGGTAAGCTGGTGGTTAGCTGTTTTCAGGAAATAAGCTTAATCATAAGAGCACACTATATTGCCATGCATAAAGCTTAACAATTTATAGTTGGCTACCAAATAATTTCAGTATATGACACGTTGATATCGACAAACGTGTTTAGCTGAAATAAATGCAGCAGGGAAGCATGTATCTTGCTCTTCTGCATAAGTATCTACACATGCATTGCGTTTTGGAATGCATATTCGTACGACTTTGATACGATTCATTCGAAATACGCGTGTGTGCCACGTCGTTTATTTGTGAAAACAACCGCATTATACATAATTCATCTATGTAAAGAATGTCACGGCGTATGAGTAACAGTTAATTTCAATTTTATGGGTCTTGTCTCATACTTTATTTATTTAATACTAGCCGGCCTCGTATGCGCGAGGCTTCGCCCCGAATGTGTAGATATTAAATAAGATGCGATTGGCAACTAAATACCATATCTTTTCACTTGGTACCTCAGTTTTTAGTCCAACAAACCTTGAATATCTTATAATTTTTAAGAAGTGGCAACCCTTTTTGAGTAATAGATTATTGAACATCTAAAAGCCGAGCCCTTTTATTTGACACCTCATTTCTTGTAATCCATCGAACAATGCGGATCTAATAATTTTTTAGACAGGTGGCAACCCTATATGAATTTAAAGTACTAAAGATAATATTGCTATCGATACAGATTATACTTAAAAAATCTCGTAAAAATACGTTCAGTAGTTTTTGAGATTAGCGTGGTCAAAATATCTAGACTTTCTTTTATACTGTGTATAGAAGATAGTAATTTTTAAACAGGTGGCAACCCTATTCAAAAAGTTAAAGCTTTTATGCATGCGAAGGCCAGACCCTTTCATTTGTTATCTGAATTTGTAATCCAACGAACGGCGAAAATCTTTTAATTTTATATTGGTGGCAACCCTACTTAGAAAAATAATACATTATTGCACATGTAGAGGCTAAATCTTTTCGTTTGACAATGACGGTGCAAAACTGATGCCTACGCTTATTATGATTGAATATAGTAATTTTATTAACAGGTGCCAACCCTATTAAGAACATTAGTTATTTTCTAGAGGCCAATCCCTTTCATTTGACCCTCATCTTTTGTAATCCAATGAACAGTGCGGATCTTTAGTTTTTTAGACAGGTGTCAACCCTCTTTAAGTCGCCACTAAAATGTTTACGATTGAAGATTAAAATAAAAAAAACTTAAACTTTTTTTTATAAAATTTCTCGTTTGAGCGATCGCCTCCATTGTCCACTCCCCCCCTGTATCCCCCACTCATGCAGATACTACATGTCTGTCTCCGGTATAAGAGTAAATATGCAGTCTCTAACGGCCATCTTAACTTTGCTTCCTTTTGTCGCAACGTACTCTGTCAACGCTACTATGTCATACTCTAATTAATAACAGTGAAATAATTTCATTCTTTACATGAAAATTTAAAGTATGTATACTATTTCTGGAAAAAGTTTTTATTCATATGTAAATTGTACTGCCTTTGATTTTTAGTCATTTGATGTGGGGTTCCATAAAATGAAAGGTGTTTAGTAAGGGTTCCATCATCTTAAAAGTTTAAGAACCCCTGGTCTAATGTATGTCTATATATGTAACAGAAAAAGATGGACGACGCCGTAAAGTGATGATAAGGCTTTGGGATCGTTCAAGAGAACTGTTATACGAAAGATCTCTGGATCGTAGACGACAAATAGCGAAGATGGAATGATGACCTGTACGGGTATTATATGAACCATGCATAAAATTACAATGACGGCGCTAGGTGCAAAAATCTTTCGACTTGGCACCCCTTGTTGAACAATAAAATCAAGAGCGTTCACGTGTGCAATGGAACAGCCAAGTGTATAATGACTTGTCTGCACTTGGAATAAGTCATTATTTTTACAAAAAAAGTGAGGCAAATTGTGAAGTAGTTTAGACTCGACCCAAACAGAAAAATTGTCAAAATTAGAATGTAGTGGAAAGAGGACTCATTCCTAAGTGGGTGAATCTGTTGTTTACCGAAACGTTTTAGTCGCTGAGATAACTTCGCTTGGAAGTACGTGGTTAAATGTCCCCTTTATGTGGAGGAATGCTACTCGGTTCTATTTCTTAATTTCCAGGGAGTGATGCTAAAGAATGGAAAGCCATTTTTTTATGGAGCTTCCTTTACAATAGGCGCTTGCATAACTTTAGATAGCGGGGTTGAGTCTGCTATTCCATTTCCATTTCAGAAGTGATTTTAGTAAAAATTATGAAAGGCTTATTGCTCTGAAGTCGTCTGATTTAGTATCCGCGAGTCTCTTTATTTTCTAATCAAGTTATAGCTAATGTTATAGTCATAAGTAAGATATCTTAATAAAAACACGCAAAGCTTTGAATGTATAATTTTCTTAACACAATAGAATATTTAATAATTTCCACTTTAATTTCTCTCTTCCACGATATAGCGCACCAGCAATCGCTCCGTACGCGATACAGCACGCTACAACAAAATACCAAGCAAGTCTAAAAACTCCAGAGGAGGCGGTGGAGGTGGACGCCGCAACGCAGCAGCAGCTAAACTACTAAAAACAGATGCCGAATCTAATTTGCCTGATAGCGCAACTTATGATGAGGACGACGATGACGACGACGAAGAGGTCGATGATATTTATGATTATCACGATGATTGCGAAGAGATGAGTGTGGGGACGCCGTTGGATGAAGACGAATATGGTAATGAACGGCGTATGCCCACGGTAGACTTCAGGAATACGGCAACCACAGCAACAACAGCAGCACAAGCAATGCCCGCGATGAAGGATACAGCAACAAAGGACACAGCAACGACGGCAATGCTGGGTGATATCGATGACATCGAATACTATTGCCGTGGCACAAAAGCCGCACTGCAGCCACCACAGCAGCAGCAGCAGCAGCAGCAATCGCGACATCAGTCATTAACAAATGGCATTGGCGGCGCGTTTGATGCCAAAGTGCCCGCAACTACGGCGACAGTAAATGCAAATAGCGTTAAGGAAATGACTGAGCTGCAGCAAATTGTGCGATTCGCACGTAAATCGAGCAGTAATAGCAGTAGCCTCAACCGAAATGTGCCACCACGGCTGCCATTTTTGAAAGGAACCGAAAAGCAAGAGCAACAACAGGCGCAGCCTCAACAGCAGCAGCAACAACAACAACAACGCACAGCGTCAATTGATAAATTGAAAACCATGACAG